AATTGATTACATAATTTCGTTATTTTAACTATTTAAAAATTTGTCATGTTAAATATTTTGTTATTTAAATATTTAAATAATATGTAAAATATTTAAAAATTTCATTATTTGAATTTTATTTATTTTAATGTTATTACGTAATATTAAATACTTTGTTATATTATTTAGCTATTTTAATGTGTTTTATTTAATATTTTTAGTTGTTGAAATATTAAAATAATGTTTTATTTTTTAATGTTAAATTTTTACTATTTGAATAACATTTAAATTGAATAATTCGTAAAATTATAATTTATTTTGTCACTACATAATTTCATGATGAATTTTGTAAAAATATTGAATTATTAATAATATGAATATTATTGAATCTATTAATTTTTTCTGTTTTGAATAAATATTTTAAATTTAGTATATAATTTCATTATAACATTTAAATAGTTCTGAATTTTTTTAATTGATACTTTCTTTTGATGGATATAGATAAAAGGTGGGGGAGAGGATAAATAGGAATTAGAGATAGTTTATGAGAGAATCTCTCTACTAAATTAGAGATAATTTAAGAGATAAATAGGAGTTAAAGATAATTTAGGAGATAAATAGGAATTAGAGACAATTTAGGAGGAAGTGGGGGAAAGTGGTGCCACTTGGCTAAACATTAGAAAAGCAAATCCCTCCTTTCTTTATCGTTGTTAGAAATAGTTAAGCATATGTGATTTCCTTTTTGGTTTAATAGGTAATTATGTGGAATTAAAAAATAAAAAATTCAAAAAAACAGAAAATTAGGAAGGGCGGTTTGAACTTAATCTAAGCCATGACTCCCTCCTTCCTAATTTCCTATTTTTTATTTTTTATTTTTTTAATTCCACATAATTATCCATTAAGCCAATAAGGAAATCATATAGGCTTAACTATTTCTAACAACCATAAAGAAAGAGGGATTTGATTTTCTAATTCCTATTTATCTCCTAATTTATCTCTAACTCCTATTTATCTTTTAAATTCTCTCTAATTTAATAGAGAGATTCTCTCCTAAACTATCTCTAATTTAAATTTATCCTCTCCCCCACTTTTTATCTATATCTATATAAAGAAAGTTTCAATTAAAAAATTCAGAAAACATGAGTGAGCGGGAGAAAATATGAAGTTTTTAAGACAAAATTACCCTTTTATTAATAAAATTTTATTTAAAAATAAATTTAATACAAATTAATACATGTTTATTAATCAAACAACAAAAAAAAAGTAAGAAAAATTTAGTTTTAAAATTAAATTTTATATTTTGATATCTATTTAGATTTCATTTAAAAAATAAAATGACCCTAAAAATTTGTTAATAGAATTAAAATATTAACAAAATTATTAGTCTTAAACTTAATCATTATTAATTTAAAATCCTCTAATCCACTAAATAAAAATTTAGAAAAAGTGAAAACAATTTAATAGAAAAAATAAAAACTAAAAAATCCACAATTCTACATCTTGGGGTGCAACTTGGGTGAGTTGGGTTGGGTTGAGGGTCAACCCAAGCCTAATCCTAAGTCTCAAACCTTGAGCTTAGGCTTGGTCCAACTCAAGGTTAAGCTTGAGTGTACCAATCCAGGCCTTACTTGAGATTAACCCAAATCTTAGGTTGGGCTTGTGCTTGGGCATGTGTAGCCCAGCTTTTAGGTAGAACAGATTGATGACATGCAGATATATATATGTGTATCATGAAATGTTGGGTGGGCTCAGATTGGGTCAGGTTGGGCCTGAATTCCTCTCTCTCTCTCTCTCTCTCTCTCTCTCTCTCTCTCTCTCTCTCATGTTACCAATCGGCTCAACCCCGCCTAAACTTTCTCCTAAACAATCTCTCCCATCCAAAATTCCTCCTAAAACACCTCTTAATCTATATTATAAACCATCTAAAAACCAAAAGCGTGGGTAAATTAATTAATTAACTTAATTTGGGTAGTTAAATTAATTTGTGATTTTATATATTTTCAATAATTATTGATAGTATTGAATATTATTTAGTAAATATCAACACCTAAACTATACATTTTCATAATTTTGGTAAATTGAAAGATTCAATTACTAAAAATTACTGATATTGTCAATTTAATTTCAGATTTTTTGAAAATTAATTATTGAAATCAATAGTTACTAAAAAATTAATAATTAATTAAAAAATAAATAAATACAAGTTTAATAATTAAAAATTATCAGTAATTTTTATCAATAAGTAATTATTGATATTTTCATTAATTTTGGTCAATTTATTAATATTTAATGATATTATCAAACAATAGTTAAAAAATTTTAGTAACTTATCGATGGAAAATTAATTTCAATAAATATAAATTTATTTTTTATATTTTCAGTAATTTTGGTATTTATTATAATTTTTGAGTATTAATTAATGATTTTGTTAATTTAATGAAACTTAAATTATAAAACTTCCAACTTTTCAAATAAATAGTTGGAAAATTTTAATAATTTCCATAAGTATTGGATGCTACATTTATAACTGTCATAATTAATGGAACTATATTTATGGGTTTGGGGGATGTTATAGGTTTAGGGGATGACCCCCAGGGTAGGAATGGCAATGGGTGGAGATCATATTCCCCATCCCGACCTCGAGTTTTAAATTAATCATTGTCAAAAACTTTAACTTGCATCCCTGGTCCTTGACAGAGAGGGCTTCCCCATTGGGGACTTGAATCCCTGAATTTTTTAATTAAAAGTTTGTTTTTAGAAAGGTATTTATTTAAAATAAAGGAAAAATTAAAATGTAAATAATATTTTAAATATATTTTGATATATATAAAATATAAAATATTATAAATAACATAAATAATATTATATATTTAATATAATATATACACACATATATTTAATATATATATATATATATATATATAATCGGGATTGGGGTGGGGTATGGACTTCACTCCCCATCCCCAATCAGGTATTCCTATTAATTCTATCCCCACCCTATCCCTGCTAAGGCAATCTTCAACCCTGCCTGATTGGGGAGGCCGGGTACTTAGCAGGGATGGAGAAAATTGCCATCCCTACTCCTGGGTTGTGTAGCTCCATAAAACAATAAGTTTTAAGTCCAATCTTGACATCGCACAGGGGCTGCTAGTATATATATATATATGAGAATCAAGAAAAATTAAAAATTAGCTTGTCCAGAAATCAAGTGATTCATGGAGTCATGGAATCAAGAAATGCCATGTGTAGTACTCTTTTAACCAATCGTCAGCTCAGCAGAAAGAAGAAGTATTTTCTGCTTCCCGGCCGGGAAGAGAAAAACATTGTAAACGTTTCCACACACCACCTTAATTTCTGGGAAGAAATGTTTTCTGAAAAATATTTGTTTTCTTTTTGTTTTCCTTTGTCATATAATTCTAGAATTACTTCCTAATATTAGGAAGAATGTATTTTCCTTTCTTAAGTGGGGAGAAAGAACCCTTGGGCTTTGAGACGTTTCCCCTCAAGTCACAGCCACCACTGCCATAAGGTATAGCAAACTGGGTCATTACCATTAGAGTTCAGATGAAGCTGTTTAATGTCTTTAACTGGAATATTTAACACTAGTTACGGTAGAGGTAGAGGATCTGTCATGGGTATCCATGATCATCCCTGTTCCATGATGGATGATGGATCCACAATGGGTCACATCCATACAAGTAAATGTGTGCATCGTTGTTACAATTTATTGTTGCCTGATCCCTGAATGAATCAGCCCGGGGCCGGCGGAAGACCACCTGATTCTGAGTACTTAAAAATAAGTGCTTATTTGGGTTATTAAGTATTTATTGATACTTGAGAAATAAACCTGAAATAAGTTTTTATTTTAAAAATAAGAGCTTATTTTTTTTAGTTCGAATTTCCAGCTTTTTTTTAATTGCTCATACAATGAGCATTGTTTTCAAAATTTTTCACCCATAATTGCCCCCGGTAAATTTATAAAATTTATAAAATCACTTTTACAAAAACACTTTATAAAAGTACTTTTATGAAAATAAAATATTTTTACGAAAGTACTTTTATGAAAGCACACTAAGTGCTAATTAGAAAAAAAGACCACCAAATGCTCAATAAAATACGTGTTTATTTAAAAAAATAAGCACTTGAAAAATCTAGATGCCAAATGCAAATAAGTGTATTTGAATAAACACTTATTTTTAATATAAACACTCCCAAACATGGCCTACATGGAAGCGGAATCTGCTCTGCACAAATGGGCGCCTCACAGGCACATCTACCATGTATTGAAAACATCTCCCGTGAATAATAACTAATAAGTGCAGAAAATGTTCCCAATGCATGATAAGATGTGCGTGTGAAGCGCCAGGTGTGAGGAGCAGATCCGCTCGCCTACATGGCCTAAGATACACCTACTCATCTTGGAGACACACTTGGGCGCCTCACATGCGATTTCACCGTGCATTGAGAATATCTCCCGTGAATAATAAGTTTAAAAGTACGGGAGATGTTCCCATGGTAGGATATGCGTGTGAGGCGCAGATCCGGTCTCCTCATCTAGTGGTATGGCGTCATTGTTTTCTTGCTTTAGTTGACCTTAGCGTTTCACGTATGGTCTTAATCAAGTAAGTCTGTATTGCCATCGTTTGAGTGTGTGACGTGGCCACAACTAAAAGATAAAACCCTTGTCTACCTAATTTAATTTCCATTTCTATTATCAGGAAATTATACAACTCCTTTAGGCTCAATTATTGGTCCATACAAATGAAAAGCACTCACAAACACAAAAGACAACGCCACCCCCCTCCCCACTCAAATTTCTCTCTACTTTTTTCTCCACAGTCCCATCCACCACTTGGCTCAACCATTCCATTTTTAGGGCGGCCTCATGAGTCATGATATAGGAGGAGGCACTCTTTGCTCCTTCATTCTCCTTCACTGAGTGTCTATGTTTTCTCTTCTTCCAACTTCTCTGAAAACAACTGCTACTACACTATTTGCCTGTTTTGTATTGCTTCGTTTTATTGAGCCATGCCAAGGACCATCTCTTCCTAGATCTTAACACTTTCCAATAGAGGAAGTTGGATTTTGTGTTGAACTTCTTATCAAACTTCATCTACCATCATTTTTGGAGCACAAGTTAGAATTGCATCTGCCACGGTGAGGAAAATCTTGTCCTCACCAACCAAGTTCGCGAAGTTGGATGCATGAAGCTTGTCGATCACCACTTGCCCAGGATTTGCTAGAACAAGCTGTAAATAATAGCATAAGAGTTGTAATAAGGTACTCCCAATATTTTTACAGTTTCAATGTGAGAAATTATATTCTAAGACCGTTTCAATCTTTGTCTATGCCTTTGTTTTGGTAATTTATGCCAAAAGAGTTTGATGAGTGGTATAATATGGAGAAACCTTAGAAGTTCCTGGTGTTATAAAATTTATGGCTGTACTTGTACCCAAGCTATCCTAATCCATTTCCAAATCTGACTGAACATCCACTAGAACTTCATATACAAAAATCTTCTAGGCCAAATATAAGCTTCAACCATATAGATTTTAGCTATTCATAAGTAGATGATTTTACTTCAGTTTTTTTTTTTTCTTAATGGGCAGATATATCTTTTTTTTTAGCTATTATTCTTGTGGTTGTGCTCCCCAATACTGATCCACTTCATAGAAATTAATGAAGCAGTCCAGTTGTGTCAGACCTTTAAAGATATATTATGTTGACTATAATGATTATTTGTTGAACAGTTTGGATTAATAAGAATAGAAATTCCTTGAATGACAGGCCTTTGGTACTAATGCCATGGTGTCGCCACAATACTGTTCTTATGCAATGAAAATTATATATTGCTTGTTTTGAATGATCTTATTATATTCTCAGAGGGAAAATATTTTCTGGAGAGGGAAGCTTCTCTAGAATATTTATGCTGCCTGTTTCCCTCACTGAGATAAGAAGAACAAGTTTATGGACATGGTTAACCCATGGGAAAGACCACACAACAAAACAAGGTTAGACATGGATCCTGCAATATTGGAAGTATTCAAGAATTGCATAAACTCACTTACTAGCATTTCTCCTGGGATAATTCTATAAAACTCATTTAGAAAATTTGTTTCCTATAGTGGGAAAAGAATAATTTAAGTTCTTGATAAAGCAGAGTTTAAGTATTAGGAGGCCAAATCTAAAAAATGTTTTCCCATCTTAACCTCCCCCCCAAACAATATGAAAATAAAATAAACCAAAACATTTCTACCAAAACTATGAACCTGTCCTTCTATTATCCATAAAATAGGATGGTTATAAATTACCTGAACATCCCTCTTCTGAAGACTCCTGTGTAACTCTTCCAAGGCATGAATGCCACTGGTGTCAATGTCAATAACGGCTGTAGCAAGCACAAAATAAATCATAAAGATGAGTTCAATAATAGTAAATATAAGAAAGGCATCAAGATTAGATTTTGATTACTCACGTGACATGTCAACAATCAAGAACTGGATTCTAGCTATGTCCTTTATTTTCAGTTGTTCTTCCTCATCAGTTAACCATCTTAAGATCCTGCAAAAAGGTGGGTTTATATATTGGGATCACTATTATATCTGTAGTGGCTGTAGGAAATTGGAATAGTCCAAAAGGATTTCTAATACCAAAACTCATATTCTCAGTATGGGATGACTTGTGTTATCTATTGAACTTAAAGAATTATAAATAAGTGCTTCAGGATGTCTACATATCTGATCTTCCTGTGCTATAAATTTGCCATACATGGGCACCATATCATAATACCTATCAATCAAACATAGGAGATCCTCGAGAATAGGGATGAGGAAAAAAGTTAATATTCATCCAAATGATTCTAATAATCAGATATTTTTGTCATTTTGGATGGATAAAGCCAAGAATAGTACACCTATGAAAATTTCCTAGGCACAATCTATAAAACTGGTTATTCTATAGCTATATTCAGACTAGATGTTCACCAAATATATATCCTTTGTAGACCATATGAAGGCAGGCATGCCATCTATCTATCTATATAATTCCCATATCTGTCAGCCGTGAGTATTGAACGTTTACCCCTAATAGGATATATATAAGATGCAAATAATAGATGAGAGGATAACGAAATAAAACTTTGTTCTAACAGGAGTGTCATGTTATGTTCAACACTGCAATGCTTTTGAAAATGAGGGCTCCTGTCTATAAATTTTAACAAATTATCAAGCCCTAGAATGGTGGTAATAAATAACCATTAACAGCATGCAGCATAGAAGTAGTATTAGGCAGTGTTTTGACTTGTTTCCTGTTATTTCATTTTAGTGCATTTATACCACTTAGAGCTAAAGTTAAGCACTTTGTAGAACTCCAACCACTCAACTAAAGAAAAAATGGAATTAGAGAAATATCAGGGAGAGTGCTTTTAGGAAGAGAATTGGAAGCCTCTGATCTTCAGCCATGAGCAACTCCGTTAGGCAGAAGTTTTCATGTGAAAATTTTCTGTATTACTTGGTTAATATTTCCATACTTTCTTCCTTTTCCTGGAATTGTATTTTTGAAGTTTACCAAATCTAAGCTTCACAAGAAAAGTCTTGAGCAATTTTTACACAATTAATGCATCCTGTCAAGAGAGAAAAGCAAGTGAACAGAGAGTGACAAAAGGCTTAAAAGAGCATCTCTACCTCTCCTTAACATAGTTGGAGTTGGAAAAATAGATAGCGGAATCAACTCTCACAATGAGTGTTCCAGGAACCTTTGTTGCATCAAGGTATTGTGCAACGTTCCTGTAGACAGTAGTCCCGGGGATCTTTCCAAGTACTGCAGTACGTGGCCTTGTCACTTGTAGGAGGATTTTAGAAAAGGATATAGAGACCTATTATAACAAAGGAAAGCAAATTAAGTGGACGCAAACTGAGAGATGAGATCTAATGTGGGAGATTGTAAATACCAATCCTTACCGCAATTAATAGACCAATCTCAACAGAAACAAAAACTACACCAAAGAAGGCTCCCATGCAAGCAATAAAATCAAATTTATCAATCTTCCATATGAGAAGTGCTGCCTCATAATCGATTAGTCCAATCACAGCAGAAATAATGATAGAAGAAAGGATGGCATTCGGCGTATATTTAAAGAGAGGTGTGATCAGTTCCAAGGTTAGTAATACAACACAGGACATTACAATATTGGAAACTGCAGTTTGGCAACCAGCCATGTAATTCACAGCTGAACGTGAGAATGAACCTGCATAAGAAGGGGATCTTGTCAATCCAGATGTATAGATGTGTGTGGGTGAGAGAGAGAGAGAGGATCCTAAGTTTATGACTTCATCCAACCCGAGCGTACATGCCATCTATACTCTAAACATGCATGTTTTAGCTGCTATATCCAATATGCAGAAATTTAACCTGATCAGATGACTTAGCCATTTATTGGTAAAGTTAGGGAACCATTTCCTTGATTTTTCCTGGCCTTTAAAAAACTCACCATGATGGATGGGTACACAGCCATCTTTGGACCTTTTCTTTGTAATTATCTAAGGGTGTCAATGGACCGGTTTTGGATTGGACCCCATCCAATCTAAAATCAATTTGGACGGATTGGACAGACCAACAAGACATATTGGATTGGACCAATCCGGTCCGAAGTATTTATTGGATGATCCGTCTGTAATAAATTTATATTGGATTGGGTTGGATTAAGCCAATATCTGGTCCATTGATACAAGATAAGAATATAGGTGTCAGTGGGCCAGGCTTGGGTTGAAACCAATCTAAATCAAAATGAATTTAAACAGATTGGATGATCCAGACATTGAATTGGGCCGGTCCAAAATGGTCCAAAATATTCATTGGACTGGATTGGACCTGGTTCATTTATAATGGACTCACACTGGACTGGATTGGATTGGACCAAATCCAGTCCAATTGACACCCCTATAATTATCCCCTTGGTCTGAGCCTGTTGTGTATCCATACCCATGGTGTAGCTGACAGGACTGTAGAGACATGTCCTTGTTCAAGTGAAGATAAACATTCTCATTTCCATTTCCTTGAATAATTTTGTTCTATTATAATTTATAGCATTATTCTTTTTTTTTTTACTTCTATATTTTGCCTCACCTGTGGCCACATAACAGGAAGTCATTGAACCAACAATATTCATTGTTCCTAGTGCAACCATTTCTTTGTTTCCATCAATTTGATAGTCCTTCATGGATGCAAATGTTCTTCCTATTGCTATAGCTTCCTAACAAATCCAACACATTTGTTATTAGACACGGGAAAGAATCAATCAATCACCTTTTATTGAATAAGTAGTGCAGAACTGACTTACCGTCAATGCTATCATACCAGCCACAACACCAATCTTGAATCCTTTCAGAACATAATGGCCACTGAAATAGATTTCATGTACTGATGATGGGTTGATGCCCTTCTCTATATGCCGCACCTTCATAAGTAAATAGAAGCAATAGTTGCAATGACTTATAGTAATTCCATGTTATAAATTCACCAAAAGTTCTCACTTACAATTTGAACACCTTTCTTGTCTGCACGGGTGATATACACAAAAAAGGTGGAGAGGACAACGGAGATCAATGGGGCAATTGCAGGTACCCAAAAAAGTTTCTTGTTCTTCTTTCCCTGTTACCCTCAAATCATGTAAGAATTGGGAACATCATTCAATCCCATAAAATTGAAGTTATACAGTAGTAGGGAGTAAAAAGCTCTTACTATGTACTTGGAAAATAGAAGGAAACTTAAGAATACTGCTCCTATGAGTACAGTCTGCCAGTTCCACTGCAAAATGTAGTAAAGTTAAGAAACTTGGGTTTGAAGCCAGAGGACAACTTGATGGCTCATTATTTTCAGTTTTATATCAAGCTTACCCCGTGGTGTGCTGAACCCACAACTGAGTGCATTACAGAAACAATGTCAGCTTTCTTTGTGAAATTTTGAATCCCAAGAAAACCTTTGAGCTGTTGAAGTGCAATTGTAATGGCAGCCCCACCCATAAACCCAACAATGGCAGCATGGGATAGGAAGTCAATCAGGAATCCCAATCTGAAAACAATGTAAAGAACATTTAATGTTTCACAAACATTTTAATTGCAAAAAGAGCAAATAAATCAGGGAAAAGAAAGGTAACAAACAGAATTACTTGAAACATAAGATGCAGGGACAGGTACTTGAAACTTACAAATAAAACATAAAAAAAAAAAAACAATTACCTAAGAAACCCAAGGGCAGCTTGAGTGATTCCAGCAAAAAAGGTAGCTGTAAATGCCAGGCGACGGTACTCTTCTGCATGTTTAACAGGATCAATCTCATCCTGGAGCAGAGTTCCTAGCAAGAGAGACACCACTGCCACTGGTCCAATGGCAATGTCTCTTGAACTTCCCATGAAGGCATAAACTAATGGGGGAACAAAGCTGGAGTCTACAATAGCACACAGATAACAGAAGGAAATACTCATAAGGGGATCTGAAAGAAATCATAAATGCATGTAAACAACAAAGAATGGAAGGTATGGATCAGCATTACAGAAACTTACATAATCCATACTGGGGAGACAGATTTGCTAGATTTGAATATCCAATATCCTATTTTGCAAGTAAAAGAGTTGTTAGAATAGTCAACATTTGCAAACAAATCAGAAGTTTATTATCCTTCTTTTATCTACCTGAGGTATACAGAGACTTGCAATAGTGAGTCCTGCAATAATATCTCCTTTAAGCTTTGTTAAGCTGTAGTTCCTCCCCCACTCCAAGATGGGGAAAACAGCCTGAAGACCTAGGATAAACCTTCTTGATCCTGGTTGGTCCTTGAAAGGGCGTAAAGGATCATCAGCAAAGAATGTTTCCTTCATAGTTGATGCAAATTCCTTCAGCAGGTTCTGCCGTGGAGACACTCCCACCTTGTGAACATATGGCAAGTTTTCCATGTGATGGCGTGAAGATGACATGCTTCTGATGTCCATCTCCTTTGTTCCGAGTCCTTCTTTGTCAGAATGACCCATTGGAAACTGTAACTATGTATCAAAATTTCCTGCAATGGAGGTAAAATAAGACAAACTTGATCAGAAATGATAAAATACTAGCTCTGGTGTAAAATTAGAAGTGCAAAAGTATATCATCATCATCATCCATGCCTTATCCCAACTACATGGGGTTGGCTAAGTGCAAAAATGTATAATTTTGCGTAAAGAATGAAAACCATTTGACATGTTTTCAGTAGCATACTGGTCATGTAGTCAATTAAGTGCATAGCTCAAGATTCAAAAACCAAAGTTACATTTGGAGTTTGATCTGACTGCCCTTTGCTTCTTGGAGAATGTAAGAATATTTAACACAAAACTGAAAAGAAAAGAGAAAATTTAATGATTCCAGAATGGAGTATAACCACTTAGAAAGAACAAACCGTCGTTTAGTAGATAGATTTTGTTCTCAATGCCACCAACAAGAAGAAATGGAGGGTATTAGAGCTCCCACAGAGAAAGGCTAGATAGCATTAGTTCAGATGTCCAAAGCCTTACTTGACACTGAATGCATCAGGGGGGTGGGGTGCTCTTGATTATATATAGTTATAACAGAAATTCCAGGTCAAACTTCTCAACCTGATAGACAATCTTAACCATGTCTTGGAAGAATAAATCCAGATTCTTCACATGACATATGTGCCTTGGAATTTAAAAGTTATGACTAACCGACACCAAGGTTATAGAATACTGAATACCAAATTGTTGATGTAAGAAGGTGATCTCCCCTCAAACTCAAATTATTATGGACATAAAAATGTAGTTTAGGTTTTAAGTAGTTGACTTGAACATTTTGATGGCAACTGCTAGAGTCCTACAAGGATAAAGCTACCTTCTTCCTACCTCTCCAATCCCCTTCCCCAACTTCCAGCTCCTTTCTCTCACCTCTTTTCTTCCTAGGTTATTCTTGGAAAGATAATAAAGTAATCAACTAAATTAACATCCTCCAGCAATGACGATGGTGGTTAAGAATTTGGATTTGAAAATTGGAAAAGTGAACTTTAGCCCCTTTCACCGTGAGATGACATCAGAATGGCATCGAAGGAGCAGTGTAGTGATCACATAATATAAAGTGAATGATAATTTGCAAATACCAAAAGAAAAGAAAGCACTCCTTCAATACCACCACCACTACACAACCAAAAATAAATTAAAAATAGCCAATTATACACTGCTTCTTCAAAAGATAGAACGTGACTCCCATTTTTAATTTAAGATTCCTATTCTGAAGAGTGCGTATAGAACCAGTCATGACACACACAAAGGATACGCTCTATAAAGAGTCGACATGGAAAAAGCAAAAGCAGAAAAGAATAACGATAAAGTAGAATAGTATTCCTACCAAAATAAAATAAAAACCAGAGTGAAATCTCGTCTAGTAAAAACAAAAGTCCTAATTTCTCCAAGAAAGTTAATAAAAAGAATAAAATGGGAAAAAGAGATAAAATATTTCTGGGTACTTCAAATGTTACTTTCCAGAACTCAAAATCCAACTCCACCATTCAATCAAACACATCACAATTCTTGTACTGATGGCTTCCACTATCAAATTAATTATAACCCAGATTTTTTTTTATGTAATAACTCCTTTTATTGTTCATGTTCAAAACAGAGAAAAAGAGATAAGAATATATATCTTTCAGAGACTGGCGAAATATGTTTGATTACCGCTTTCAATCAAGTTACTTAAAACCCACAATTTTTTCAGCTATTCATGAAAAGGGTATAGTTTTTACTTTGTATGTTGGTATATGAATAAAGGCTGCTACTAGAGAGTGTTGGCCGCACCTAGTTCTCCTCTTCTTCTTCCTTGGCGCAAAAGCATTGCATGAAAGCCATCGATAGTGGACCACTCCGTAATATCCTTGAAAACTGTTTCCTACTTAAAAAGGTATATAGAGAAGAAAAAAATATTCAAAAGCAGTACTCAGAATCCCTTTACAGACCTAGAAGAGATTCAGACAAAAATAAGGAAACAAGGAACAAGAAACCATAAAATTAATTAAGAGAAGAATAACCCAGAAGAGAGCATTACCACATCAACTTTTTCGTTCGCCCACACTCGACGGTCCTCGTCTTTCTGAAATAATGATCATCATAAAGAAAATTTTCAAATCCTAGTAAAGGAGATCACGAACAGGAACAAAAGCTCCTCAAAATCCGTCCAGATGCAACGAACCTGAAATGGTCGGTTTTTTCTTCCTGTTTGATTAACAGAGATTTCGAAAACGAATGGAGGGAGGTAAAGAAAATCAGCATTACCATGATAACTTCCATCTGTTCCGACCACCCTTTTGGGATTGCAGAAACATATAAAATTCAATCCCACCAAACCTGCAAAATTCCAATTCCACAAGCTGGCTTCATCATGGATTCCTAAAATTCCAACGGAGTGGATTTTTCGTTGGGCATGTTTTTCACTTTTTTGTCTGTGAAAGAAGTTTATTTACGAAATTGCCACCTAAACTTGTCTACTATCAACAAGTACAGCAAAGTCAAACCGAAAAAGACGACTTTGTAGACTTTCTATGGTTGTTATCTTTCCCTTTTCTCCTGTTGTCGTTAGATAGTGGACCCACGTGGTACGTGTCTCGATAAACTTTTAACCGGGCTGTAATAACGGCCAGGTTCGTCGTGGGTTTCAATCGGGTTGCTTTTTTATCATGGGGCAAGAAGGGACCGGTCTGGGCCGGCTTTAGCATTTATGATAAGGGTTATAGCCTGAGCACTACTGAGTTGGAAGTGGAGGGTTGAAACTTTTAACTGGGCCGTGATTACTGCCAGGTTCGTTGTGGGTTTTAGACTTTCAGTCGGGTTTCTTTTTACCGTTGTGGGCAGAGCAAGAGCTGCAACGGATCGAATCGGATCGGATGTCAAAGATCCAAATTTCAAATTCGAATCAGATCTTATGTTGAATTTAAATCGAACTTCGGATCGTGATTGATATTGAGCATTTGAATGGTATAAATTAAAAATGATAAAAATATTATATGGTATTAATAAAATAAATTAACAATGACTTTGATCTTATATTTTATAATTTCTTAAACTATTCTTATAGTTTAGTTAATTGACTAAATCTATTTTTACTGTTTACATATTGTCTTAAAGTATCCTTATTCTTTCTGACAATTGTCTAAAACCTTCATTGTCGTTAACTTTCTGTCATACTCCGTTCACACGTAATAGCACATGACTGCTCATTTTTTTAATTCCCAAACTACCCTTCTCTTTCCCATTCCTCTCTCTCTCTCTCCTCTCATTGTCCCCGCCGTAGGGCCTTAATGGATTCCAAGAAATCAACTGCAAATCAAAATTGCATTGTTCTCAAACCACTGTAGGGCCTCTATTAATGGACTCTAAGAAATCAACTGCAAATTGAAGTTGCATCATTCTTAGACCGTCGTAGGGCCTCAAGAATGTCGTTAAAGAGTTCCACCCATAAATACCCACCAACCCAAAAAACACACCGGAGAGAGAGAGAGAGATGGCATTGCAGTCCTTTGTTAATTGATTCCGAAAAATCAATTGCAAATTGAAATTGCATTGTTCTCAAACCACCATAAGGCCTCTATTAATGGCTATGAATTAGGGAGGCCACCGAAGAGTTCCACCCATAAATACCCCAAAACCCAAAAAACACACCAGCAAGAGAGAGAGAGATGGCTGTGAATTAGGGAGAAATACCCAGAAACCCAGATGATGAACTATCTTGTCGTGAAAACCAAATCAGGGAGGTAGCGATGCTAGAAATACCTAGATACCCAGATATGGTTGTGAATCAGCAATGCCAAATCAGGGAGGTTGCCGATCACCGAGTGAGGATAGGGGAAGCCCAAAATAATTAGATTTTTTTTCTTGTGATGGAAAGGGGTCTGGATGTAGTAGGCACGTTAGGTAAGCACAGTAAGTGAGCACGTAATGGCTGTGACACATGTCCTAGCTAATGTGCCTTTCATCCAAATGTTTTTGCTCCATTAGATAAAAACTATCCACTATTTTATTATCTTTGTCAAAATAATTAAAAATAAAAAACAATAAAAAAGGAAAACGTAAATGAGTCCCAACTCTCAACACGTTTAGGTTTTCCTTTTTCATTATTTTTATTTTTAATTATTTTGACAAAGATAATAAAATAATGAATAATTTATGTCTAACGGAGCAAAAACATTTGGATGAAAGGCGCATTAACTGGGGCATGTGTCACACAGCTATTACGTGCTCACTCATTGTGCTTACCTAACGTGCCTACTACATTCGGACCCGATGGAAAGTGATGAAGTTTCAAGAGAGAGAAGATGAGAAGGAGAAGAAACACGATAATGTCATAAGCTTTGATTCAGTGCTTTTAAAAAGGATTCCGCTAGGAACCCTATTGGAGCATTCTGTCAAAGCAGGTTGCAAGTTGTAGCAGGATTTACCTTACAAATTAATGGGATTCCACTTTGATTCGGTGCTTTAAAAGGGATTGACCTTACAGGTCAATAGAGGTTGCCAAATCCGCCACTGCAATGGCGGTGGCGGGAATAGGGGATGTGAAAGAGAAGGGGAGAGAGAAAGAGAAAGGAGAGAGATAGTGAGAAAGAGAGAACTAGAGATAGGGAGACAAGAATGAGAGAGAGGTGGCAAAGAGTGAGAGAGAAGTTACTAAATCCGCAGCTGGAAAGAGAGAACCGCCGCCGTTTAAAGGAGTACTGTCGTTGGTTTGCCACTGCCTCAGATTAGTTTCCAGTTGGGTTGACTCTCTCGCTGTTCACTCTCTCACCTCATCTCCCTCTCTCTATATATATGGAACGGGACCCCTACTTTGGCACCGCTGCCTTCATGAAAACCTGGATTGTTTATTTACACTTGGAGCTACCCAAAGGGATGGTGCTGAAGGGGGCAATGTAGTTCTTGGGTTTTGATCATTCAGCCCAGTGAGCAAAATAAGAATAGGCAATCTGAAAACGATGCAAACGGGGGAAGAGAGGAAGAAGAAGAAGGAGGAGGAGGAGGAGGAGGAGGAGGAGGAGGAGAGAGAGAGAGAGAGAGAGAGAGAGACCAGAGGTGGATGGGCTTGTAGCAGTAAGGCAGGGGGGGTTGCAGTGGAAAGTGGAGGGCAAATTTGACATTTTGTTTCTTTCCGTTAGCATTTATTCACAATATCAATTGTTAGAAATAGTAGGGATACTTTAAGACAATATGTAAACAGTAAGGGTAGAGTTAGTTAATTAGCTAAACCATAAGAATAGTTTAAGAAATTTTCCCTAAAATTAATTAACATTTACTTATATGAAATTTGAAACTACCAAATTATAAAAACCTAACATTCAAATCAATTTTTTTAATATATACAATATAAATTTTACCTATACATAACCATATATGTTTAAATTGAATTCAATCAGATTATATCAAATCCAATAGAGGTGAATCCATATTCAATCCAATTATAAATAAATTCAATTAAGAACACTCTTAATGGGATCAAATTTAAATCAGATATTGCTTTTTCAGTCCTGTGATAAGGGCCATAGCCTAAGCCCAAGTTAACTCACCTTACACCCTGGGCATGAAAGTCCAAGCCTGGGTTTTTACCAGCCTAGGTCAGGGCTTTGGGCCTAAGACAATACATTTTATAAGATATAAGAGGTTGTACAATTGGAGAGATGAGGAAGAGGGGAGATGAGGGGTCCTTTCACTACAAAGCTCACACATACCTCCTCTTCCCCTCCTTATTGATACATGTGCATATTTGTTTTTAAATTAGATCATTAAAAATAGAATAAATCAAAATTTATTAAAGTCCTATGGGTAATTGTCTCTCATAAAACCCATATTTACTCTTTAATAAGGTCATTCTTCTTAAATCTCTCTCCCTCCTAATAGTCAATATTTGTAATATCTCCCCTCCTCATTAAATCCCTCTTTTCCTCATAAATCTCTCTTAACCCTTTTTGGCTCTCTCTAATATAGTAGGGTTATAAATTGAATGGATTGGAGAAGGATAAGGGCCAATCTAAATATGAACCCCAGATTGTACTCAAAGTAATGTCAAAACCCAAATTTGCACACCCAATATATGGGGTGAACTGATCTTATTGTATGAAACTCTAAAGAAATCATTGCTCCTTTCCACGGGTTTATCAAGTTTTTCTCTTTTTTATTAATTTAATGTAGATTTGTTTTATGAATTATTCTGATTCAATAATAAAATACAATAAGAAAGCACTTAACATGATCCTTTGGTTATCTTCTCCAGTTCAATTTGGAAATTGTTTTTTGATCCCATGCTAATCACATTTTTTTGGCTTTATAGGGCTACACAACAAGGGTAGCCTATCCCCCCAAACCCTTAACTACCAACCCTAGGAGTCAATGAGATTTGATCCCATGTCTTCATTACAATTGGCCAAAGAACCTATCTGGCTAAGCAATTGATTTTCATGCTAAGTAGTTACTTGTTGCCTTATATTTTATGTTTAATAAAAGGATAAAATTCATAGAAATTTTGGTTAAAAACACATGTTTATCAACATATAAACATTTATTGTTAACAGTTATGCATTTTTTTTTATTAAGGTTCAAAAATCAAGTTTCAAATGTTATATCATAAATAATTATAGACGTCAAATATAATTGGGTATGTGTGTAAGAAAAGTATAATCGGGCTTAATTAGATCTGATCATTTTGGTTTGTGACTGAGACCATCTTATCCTGAATTAGACCTGATCCTATAAGTTTTTAATTCAAAATTATAAAATAAATCTACTAAATATTTTCCCATCGTTGGCTATTGATACTAAAGCCATGTTTGGTTTGAAGGAAAAGATAGGAAAAGGAATCGAAAAACAGAAAAAACAATACAGATTTGTAAAGATTTCTCTACCTTTCTCTACATTTTCCTTCAAACCAAATGGACCAAGTATGCATTCCATTTCTTGTCGTACGTGGGAAAACTGGATCAAAATAATCGGGTCAAGTACGGAGCTTTTTCTCATAAATGATAAACCCACATGTTTTAATGTTGTCACTTGGATGGTTCTTATGTCCAATTCAAACTATCCATCTGGTAGGATAATTGTCAACGTATTCCATTTCACAATTCATATTTGTCGTACGTCTCAACTTGAGACTCTCAAGCCTCATCAAAATGTGTAAACTTCCAGAACCACTGAACCAGCATCAGCAGCTATTGAAGACTGATTTAATGCATTAAATATTTTATGTACTTTAAAGTATAAAACATATAGGGTGAACACGTTGGTAAAGTATGGGCCTAATAAAAATAAAATGAAAATCCAATAAATCAAATCAAAGTTCACATGGTTTTATTGAGGTTTTAGAAGAATTCAATAAAATAACCAAGGGTTGATCAGAATAGGGGA